GTACCTAAAATAATCTTTATATATAATTATGTTAATACATAATTAACAATTGGATATTAAATATTTCATTACATTAAAATTAAATGATAAAATTGCTTGTAATACAAATCTATTCATATTACTTTTGCTATTAATATTATTAATTATTATGTATTAAGCCCTTAGAGCACACTTGATTATTTATATATATTTTTTTAATGTGAGTCACCTTAACAAAAATGTGGAAGACCACTGGTATAAATAGTATATTTTATAGATGTGTGCATGTTTACAGAAATACTGTGTGTATCGATATTGTAAAATAATAAATGGAAATATAATATTTATACAATGTCAATGAAATGTGTAATCATAATATAATATAAACTAAATCAGTATAATATGTGATCTATTCAAATGTTTTTAATTTGATATATGACCTATAATAGTATCTTACTTGAAGATATTTCAGTATATGGCCTACGATGTTTAATATTTCATTTCGTAAAACTGTCATATTATATACTGCAAGGTTGAAAGTTTTTCTCAAAAATTTAGGTTTTAAAAATGTGACAGTGTGATCGGGCTATCTTATTTCAACTATAGGTGTGTTGTACACCTATTTATTTGTTTTATTCATTTTTTAATAAACGAAAGCAGCTGTGATGTAGTAATTTTCACGCAAATTTTACGTAATTTTCCGCTACTGTAGATCAAAACAAAAGGGAAAAAAAGGTATTTGCTCCTATTATGCATAGTTTATGCCAAGGGTGAGCATTATGGTGTGCAGCAAATTAAAAAAATATATAAGATATTGGGTAATTTAATAATTCATATACTCTAAAAGCAACGATTAACGATTCCAATCGAAAAACCTATTCTTAACGAAACTCAATATGCCAGTGAGATTATACTATAATATTAATCAGTGGAGTATTTAATATGTATTAGTTAGGTACACAATAACAACTCCAAGTAAAACATCGTTGTATATAAGTTTCACGCGATGATTCAAATGAAATATGTTTGTCCTTGGTAAAATCAAAACATAACATGTTATTATTGTAAATACAAACGTAATTATGCATTTAGATTTATAAAAATGAGGCTAATTATACTTATGATAAATAATATCTTGTTTACTATAGTATATTGTTTAATCAATACGTGTTATCAATAAAAAAAAAAAAAAACATTGATTTTAATTTGTATTACATTATAATTTGCATATAATTATTTTCTATGAATAATAATAATAATAATGTTAGTTGTTAATTTTGTTTTTATACTTTAAGATTTGTAAAATGCTTGAAAATAATACATTCGATTAGATAAATAAATAATTTTTGTTGTTGTTTTATATTTTACACCTATATACCTACCCACCTAATAGTTACAGTAAAATTTACTGCATGAATTTGTTTTTTTCAATACAATTTTGACCCTTATTTTGATCTTTTATTAGCTAAAAGTATTTTAATTTAAATGACAGAACACTGTATAATATTTTGGGTACAAAACAAACTTTGAAAAAACTATAAGTTACACTTTATAGCTGATAAGAATTTAGTAAAAAAAGAAAAAACAACTTTAAACCTATTCCATTTGAGTAAGTGTACTCATTTTCAAAAAAAAAAAAAAAAAAAACAAATATTTTAATTACTTCTGTTTTATATTTTTTAAGCCTCTTTATTATAAAGAACAAACGGACATACTTCACACGATGGATGGATGATTGTTATTGGTAAGAAGTTGGGAAGGTAGAGTGGAAATTCAATATATATCTATAGCAAAGATTAATCATTGCTAGCGAAAAACGATTCAGAGTTTGGTTATGAAAGACCTTAATATTTACAATTTGAAAATTGTACATATGGTCAATTTTCCCGTATTCCCATTCATAGTGAAAACCCATAATAAAGTTTTAAAATAACTACCTTAAAGTACGACTTCAGTCAGATTTACTTTCAGAAAAAGTGTTAAAAATCAGAGCGAAATTTCTGGTAGTAAGTTGTTCACGGAAAAAAAAATAAACATCATTGTAAAACCAATATTTTTCTCTTTGTTTAGTACCTATAAATATAAATGTATACTAATTTATAACAACGATTAGTGGGACAGTATTAAGGAATATTTTAATCTTAATTATTTTTTCGCTGAAATATTCTGAAAATGATAAAAATTATGAATTTTTTTGTGATATTATAATAGTTGGTGATAACAGCCATTATGAATGATAAAACTATTGCTTATAATTTATTTGTTGCTTAGCGAAATACCTATAGTAATTGTATCTCATCATGATGTTTATGTTAATTCCATGTACCTAATAACCTAAATCCTAAAAATTAATTCTGTTAACTTATTGAATAATAATATCCTTGATAATTCAAACCTGGTAAAATATAATTTGTATATTTTTATTTGAATTTTATTAATTGTTTAAAGAAAATTCACTTCAATGCTAATAGTTATAATATCAATAAATATTGGAAAACATTTGAACACTATTGTAATAGAATAAAAATAGAGTAAAATAAAAGATAAATGAATCCGCAGACAGGAGATATGGTAGGTATAATATGAAATGGGAGAATCAGGGGGAATATAATGCGTGAGGGGTAATAAAGGTATCCGTGTTAATGTTATTTTATCGTGCGTGGATCCACTACTTTATATACAATGGTAAGAGTGAAATAATCTTCTGAATAGAAGAGTGAGCGGTAAGTGTGTGTGTGTGTGTGTGTGTGTGTGATGGTCGACGATTTTACGACCTAACGCGGACGCCACGTTGTGCGGACCACAAAATATGATGCTGTAACGCGACACGGTATACTATACATGTATATTATGATATGTAATCAAATCAAATCGTACCAAATGGGTTAGTGTTATCTAATGTCCGAATACCGTCCTAATCTATGTGAGTGTGTGTTTAAATAAATGTGCGAATGAACGTTTACTATACTACGCGATAGTTTATCCTGACTTAGGGGAGATCTAAATACTGTTCTATTACGGAAGTAAGGTAACTTCCTACGAGGTAAGTAACTCGTTAATCTGCAAGACAACTTGAAATTCGCCTGAAGATCGTTGGTTATAATATGATAGGGAAGACAAAAGTGACCTGTAGATGAATTTTTGCTCGGGTATACATGATGGACAGGTGTGGGTGTCGACAAATCGTCGCGATATGCAAATTACTCAAAGTAAACGTGATTGCTCAATATACGACACTTAGAACGATTGGTTTGTATTTTTTCGTTGGTCACTTTTCCAAGCGTATAGACAATTGTTACGGTCGATAGTGAATTGGTCGGAGGTTAACGACATAAAGCGTAGGTTAGCGCTCCTAGATGCATTTATATGATTCGTTACAAGTTGTGTATAGCCCTTCGGTGGGACACTATAAAGAGTCACTTCGGTTAAATGTAGGGGAATACAATGTAACACAACCCACAGATAAGCATATAATGACCGGGAACACAAGTACAGCAGCCCGTCTTAGATTCTGCAACCACTGCACTAGTGTAGAAATACCACTGTACCAGTACACCAAATATAACAGTCCACATATGATTCTGCAACCACTATATTTGGAGGAATATATGTAAAAACTGAAGTAGAATAATAACACGTTTAAATGTACGGTACAAAATAAGGTGACACATACAGGTACCAAGTATTCTTTAGATTTTGAGTGGATCGAAGAAATTTATAGTTTTATAAAGATGTTTTTTTTTATCTGTTAATAACTTTTCTACCAGAAGATTTGCTTGGATTTCTAAGTGTAGTGAAATTAAATCGGTGTGGGGAGGTAATTTAAGTAGATAATTTTTTGATTTTTTCAGGAGTTTTCTCATCATATTTGAATAATCAAAAAAAAACTGAGAAAAACGGGAAAATGTACAAAATATTTTATTAAAATATTACGGCCTTCTTTTTTTCTGTAAACAACTACTAGCAATTTGTTCCAAATTTTAATGATAGCAATGTTTCTAAAAGGAAATTTTACTAGAAAGGTACTTTAGAGAGGTCATTTTTTGATTTTCTCAGAAAAGTCAATGTGAAAACAGGGATAAAATATGGAAAAATCAGAAAAAACTTAAAAATTTCGGAAAATCGGTACAACGTTAAACAAACATATTTTTAAAGGAAATATATAAAGCCTATTTAATTATTATTATTTTTTTTTTATTTTACTACTTTTTTACACATCTATTGTTGAAAAACATCACTATCAACTGAACTCCGTTCAGAATCGTTTTCGAAACGGTGCTTATATGCCTACCGTGGTCTCCTACTATAGTGACGTTGTCGATTAGAGTGTAACATACTCTGGCGGTCAATATGTGATATTAACAGATGTTAATTATTATAGAAACTGGTAGTTGCATAATATTACCCGTATTTCGATCGTTCGTTTCCAATAATAAATATTTAATGTATTACAATATAATAAAAAAAAATATATATTTATTACCTAAAAGACAATTAAATGGTTTTTATTTATGTAGTTTACTTTAAATTGTATTGAATTCAAAGTACAAACCTTATCGAAAAATTTTATTAAGAAGGATAAAATTCAGTAATTAACAAGTTTAATTATAGTTTGTTGATAGATTCTGTTTAGGGTATGTCACTATTTGTATATGGGTAGGTGGAAGTAAGAACTTACAAGATAATTTAGCTTATATACTCGTAATATATGCAACGATCAACCATTGCGAATGAAAAACGATTCTGAGCGAAGTAGAATAGATCGGTTTGTAGCGTTTTTCTTTTATTGCTAAGGTATCCTAGAAATCAACAAAATCATAAAAAAAAACATAACAAGTAAACCGCTAAAAATATCCATGAATAAATAATTCAAATAAAGAACCACTGGGCAAAAAAAATCATCTTTGAAGGAGTGTACTGTGTAAAAAAATTGACGCATTTTCTTAACCAACAAAGTATTTGAGAAAAAAAACGTAAAAAGTAATTTTTGGGAAAAAGTATTGAGAAGTTGAAAAAAATTTTCAAATAAAGTACAATCGATCAAAAAATTCACATTTTAATAATACTAATGTTATATCTTCTTCGCTACATTCAGAATCTAAAATAAAGATAAACATAATATAATTGGCGGAATGTCAATTCATTCAAAATGATCGTAAAAATTAACATCACTAGGTAGGTTTTAAACGTATTAGCTTTTTTTTATAGTATATACAATAATATATATATATATCTAGTAAAAGAGGAACCATCAATATATTACTGCGAACATAAAACGATTCTTCGCGAACTGCGTTTAGCCGTATAGTCTTTATTATACTTACAGATTATAATTATACTACCGTTTCTTCGTCAAAATATAAAACAATAAAAATACACGATAATCGAATGTATTTTTGTATCGTTAAATGATACACAGACAATGGCATGTTTTATAACACAGGTGCAAACGCGTGTCATTAGTATAAATGTAATTCGTCTAAACCTGTACAGGGTTCAATGAAACTATTTTAAACCTGCTTATTATGTACAATTATGATTAAATAATACTACGGAATAATTTCAATTTAACATTATGTATGGACGATTATGTTATCAATTATTGTTTTATAGCGTTACAGGTAAATATTTTTAATTTAATTAATAAATTAATGAAATAATTTGCACTGATATCAATATATAAGGAATTAGTACCTAACCAAACTTAGGTGCAACGGTACAAGTTCGAAACGCTATTATAATTGTTGTACATGATAATTATGTTGTTAAAGTAGATGCCTAATTATTCTTCATATCGCACAGAAGAGTCCGGACATTTCGGCGTGACCATCTCGGTGTGGGTCAATTTCGGCGTAAAGATCAATAAAACAAACACACGTAAAACAGTTTTTGAAACTTCTACTTTGTGAATTTCCTCAATAAATTGATATTGAGTTAACACGTAAAATTGTAAATCAATTACAAGTTTTTTTTTTTTTTTTAAAAAATTATTAACAAAATATATAGAAGAAAATTAAAGCACTGTGATTTTTACCCATTCGTAACTCATTTAGGATAAATAACATGTCATAATGTATAGGAAACATTACCTATACTTACAATATATATTATTATTTAATTAAATATTTATAAATATAGTTTTTTGGACGTTTGTAAAATTATAAAACAAAATATTCACTATACAGAATGAATATCTAAAAAATTGTATTGCAATATAAATATATTCGTTAGTTGACAAAAAAAAACCATAATTTTAAATAAAATTATTTACTATTTTGGAAATATTCCCAAGGGTAAATGAGACGTTGATTTTTTTTTTTTAAATATTGTTTACACTCCAATATAATGCTCTTTTGGCTGGGTGTTATAAAGTATTTGAGTATGTATACTGTATATTAACGTATAATCCAGTCAGTGGTCAGTACAGGGGGATTGGAGGACAGTGCAATCTTTACCCTCCCGTTCACTCTCCAATATACTCTTATGTTGATTCATCATTAAGACCATAATAAATATGCGCTTTATATCAATTTTAAAAATCTTTTCATTATTCTTTTTTTTTTTGTGCTGCATCCACCTCCAAGACCAGTTTTGTAATTTTATCTAGATACTAGATAGATATATATTTTTCTTTTATCTTATATAGATAAAGGCGATTTAATTAATAAGCATCCTTTTTTTTTAAATCTTTATTTATTTATTTTTTCGTAATACCTAATAGGTAAAATATTCAATTTATATTGATATAGTATAATAAATAAATTATAATAAGTTTGTGGCCACACACCTGTTTTAAAATATACATTTATAATAAAAATCCGGTACGATTTTACTACCGACATTTAAAATTGGGTTTTATGATTTTTATGATAGCGGTAATTGACAAAATTATCTTTTTTTTATAGCTAGTAAATAAGATTGCTGTTTATTTATCTCCATTTGAATAATTCTAACAATCTAGACATGTTTACATTTATCTTCACAAAAAAATATAGCGTACAATGTACGGTAGGAGCATTGGCCACTGTGGATAAAAATTTCACGAATCCACATAAATCCACGTCGATTATTTCGATAAAAGACGAAATCAGTGGCAAATCAGTGTTAACCGATTTTAAATCTATATATGCATATATATATATAAGTGAATGTATATGGTATAAACGTACATATTATATTATAAAATATGGGCAGGTAATAAAAGCGAAGGTATACGCGACACTACACTGTAACTGCAACAAAGGTGTCCGATAATAATAATCCAGTCCGCTATATTTTCAAAATGTGTTTTAATTTTGTTTGACAATACCAATAGAATTTATTATTATTATCATAATACCTACCTGCCTACTGTGCGGAATAACAATTTGTATATTTGTGTTATTTCGTATGCATCGCGAACCTGTGTAGGTATATAATAATAACGGCATTACAGCGCCTAAAATAATAATAATAGCGGTAATAATAATAATTTGACGTTTACGGTAACAATGAATAAAATAGTGGGTGGGTGTGCCCGTATACTAAATCGGAACGGAGTGTGGCAAAATCACCTCGATGACGAATGATTTCACATTGTGCGACAATTAAACGGTACAATAATAATTATAGATAAAGCCGAAACGGCGAAACACGTCCGATTTGTGTAATAATAAGCCTTTTGTGTGCGGCTGTGCGGCCGCCATTACGTTTTCGGGCGTTGCGTTTTGTTTCGCGATTTTACGCGCGATGTTCGTGGGTCTGCAGGTAAAAATGGACGCGAAGTTGACGTTGCACTGTAAGTAGAACTTTTCGGAAAATATCCAATTAGCCAAAAATATATTGTTGTAGACTCTTGGGAATTTGTTGGAGTTCCCGTTTTTAACTACCCTACGGTATACACCAACATATCTAGTCTTTACATTTCTATAAAAAACCGTTCGAAAAACTTTCAAGGGTATTCAAATAGACATTGTTGAACGTGGTTAGAAAAATTACGCGAATTTATTGGAGAAGTCCTTAACTTCTCACGTAGCATTGCAGTTTTAGTAAGCATAACAACGTTATGATAAAATTTAATGATAGATGTGTTATCAGTGTAAACTTTAACGTGGAATAAAATATAAATAGGGGGGCATACTCTTGACATCTATGTATGGGAATTTGATTTATAAATCCTCAGCATTACATTTTAAGACTTCCGAAATAGCTTGTAAAGTATATACAGTATATATTGAATTCTGTATACTAAACTGATAACTTTCTAAAGCTCCGGCCAGAATTTCTAAAACCAAAATGTTTTAAAAATATTAGGTACCTCGTCTAATATAAATGGTAATATAGTTATTGTCCCCGGGAACATTCAAACATCAAAAATCATATTTTAAACACAAAATTCAAACAAGCCAATGTGGGCATCGAATTTGATACGACACATACCGACCATGACAAAACAGAACAAAAATCACCAAAGAAAATATATGAACAAAGAAATTACAAAACAGATAAAAATGTCCTCACTGAATCAAAATTTCTTCAAAAACATTCAAATTGTCCCTAAAAATGTTTTAGAATTAAAAAACAAAACTGATTGTTTAAATAATAACCGGTTTGGCGTGAATAATTTATGTAATTATTCGGGTTTAATTAATAAGTATTAAGTTATTTATTTTTAGTTTTATTGACAATTATTCTAAAAAAATATACATCAAGATGTTGGTATTGTAAAATCGTATAATGCAATACGGCCAAGTATATATTTTTACAAGTTTCTAGTGTTTATATACATTTAAAAAATACGTGTCTAAAAAATAAATATATACAGGCAAATATACAAAAATTCTCGTCTTATAGAAATTAAAAGAATACAATGTTAAAAACTTATATAACTAATAATGAAAAAAATAAAAACTAATCTAATTAATAAACTAATACTAAACTAAACTAGTATAACTAATAATAAATTAATATACATTTAAAATATTCGATTCGAATGGTTAAAAATATTTCTCTAAAACATTTCAAAATGGTTTCACTTACAAACTAAAATAATACAATGTTAAAACTAATTTAACTAATAATAAAAAACTAAGAACTAATCTAACTAAACTAAACTATTATAAATGATAAAAAACTAATATACATTTAAAATATTAAGATTAAAAACTAACTAAAGAAAACAGTGGTAGAATTGAGTCTTCCCGCGATAAAATTATCTTCAAACTTAATTTTTCTAAAGCAAAGTTTTCTAGCAATGGCGACACACTGAAAAAAAAAAGAAGACCAAAAATTAACATCGATATGGAGAAAAAAAACAAACAAACAACACATAATAATAATGACGTATAAGAACGTGAACACAACCGACCTCGTTTTTGTCCACGGTCCTTGGTAGATGTAGCTTCGGTGCCATTGTTTTCGCTATACGCACAATGGCTTCGCCGCCCCCCGTTCTCTTCACACATGGACGAGAGGCTGTACACTTCCCGACCTAGGTATTCAGGGCCTCCCCACGGGGGCGACGTGACCACTACATCCCCCGTTTGAACCGCCGTCCCGCCGAAATAGTCGTTTTCTCGGAACGCTATCCGGTCTTGGCACCCATATATATCGGCATTGTGCCTGGCCAATTTCAGTTTTATCGGATCAATATCCATTGCTATGACTGCGCGGAGAAACGAAAAAAATACATATTAAATCATACAGTCATACGGTTAATATTATAAATTAATAATTACATACCCTTCCGACAAGTAGCGGCCAGCTGAATGACGTTGCCGCCGGCCCCGCAGAACGGGTCCACTGCAACACCGTCCGGGAACCTGCATCGGTTCGCGATATGCTTCCCCAACACCTCTGGGCATACAGAGTAAAAACTCTCTGTGCAACGATAAACGTAAAACAAATATTAAATCAAGTAAAACGAACGGAGACGAAACACGATAACGATTATATTATAGAGAACGCGAATGAATTATAGGTATATATATACCGTGATCCAAAAGTATGCCACAGTCGAAACGTTGGAATAGCAATTTTCTCATCAGCCAGTACTTCTTTACGCGATCGAGTTCGTGCGCGGTGGTCTTATCGTGAAAAAAAAAACGATTGTCGTTAAACACGGTCTGTCGCAATTTCGTGACAATCCGCGCGATTTTGCAAAATAATTGTCAACGTGAGATTAAAACGTAAACGAATACAATAATTATCAAAGAAGGTTATATTTCATCAAGATATAATATCACATTTCTGTATTACCTCGGTTTGGTCACAGCAAAATGACTTTACGCGAATAGCGTAATCTTCCGCCTCTTTCCTGTTGTACGCCGTTCTCTTCACTGGAATAATAAACACTTATTAGAAATTGATTTTTATTAACCTAATGGTGATTTATTTATATTTTAAAGGCGTAAAGGAAAAATGCGATGTCTTGATTACATACTTACCGTTATATTACGAGAATATTGTGTAAAAATAGATGAAAAAAAGAAACAAAAATCCACACGAACAACTCTAAAACTACGATATGATTCATTGTACAATAACTTCGTATTATAAGTAACTACACGTTAAGTACACATTACAGTATGCTATTGTAAAACTACACATTTTTCCATGAAAAACAATTAGATATGTAATTTTACATACCGTTGGTTTTCAAATAGTTTTTAATTGTATTGACGGTTACAGGTGGAGCGGATTGCTGAAACAAAATACAACGATTTTAAACAATTAATTATTTTATTATTTATATAATACACTGGCTATCCCAAACGATAAATATTGATTTTTCTCCCGGAAGCCATTCGAAAATGGTTTTTTTCGGCAATCATAAGTTTTCAATAATTTTTAACACACAATAATAATATTATTGAATTTAAGAAAATGATTACGAAAAAACAACAAAACAATAATAGTGTGATTTTTCAGGATAGTTTAGGTGCATTAATTAATAATAAATAAATATATAGAAATTTATAACACACCTTTTCCTCGCGTATTTTAACCATAGCTCTTCAATTAACCTTTGAAAATACAAATTTAATAAAATAGTTATCCATAAAGAAATTTGGTACACACCTTTTCCTCGCGTATTTTAAGCATAGCTTTCTCTTCGATTAACTCCTGAAAATACAAATTTAATAAAATAATATAGGTATCGACCGACCAAACAATAATAGCGTGATATTTAAAGACAATTTAGGTAAAATAATTATCCATAAAGAAATTTGGTACATACCTTTTCTTTACGAATTCTCTCATTTATGGTCTTTTCGATTATTCTAAACGCCTGAAAACACACATTTAATAATATTATATTGGTAGATAAACATTAGTAACATAGGTATTAATTTTTTTATCATACTTGATTTAAACTTCTGTATTGCATACGTTCCCCAATGTCACGTTTCAATCCTTCAATAAAATTTAAAATTAAAATATACAATGTTGATTTAGAATTATTGTTTTTTAAAATATTTAAAATCTCCTTCATAGCGGGTTCCCAATAGTCTTGATCGTTTCTAAAAAAAAACGCAAAAATATATTTGATTTAGTTTTTTATGAAATAAAATAAATTAACAATTTATAAAAAATCATTTACAAGACGAGGCCGCTTTTTATAATTGAGACGAAAAGTTGGCCCGCAATGGTCGTATCCTTTTCGTCCTTTACACTCGTACTTAAATTAGTTGTCAAATGTTTTAACGTGTACTCGTACATCGCCTAGAAAATTATAATCAATTTTTATTATTTGATTACAAAATCATGGTCTTACTGTCTCTGAGATACAACGAATAACGATAATATTACCTGTCCCAATTTGAGTTTGAAAATCATGAACATTAAATACTCAATGACTTTTTCGGCGTCTACGATCCTCCGTACCGCCAAGTCGTACAAACGCTCGTAGCACGATATCGCGTCGATCGATATCGTACTACGTTCTTGGTTAGCAGTTGTATTTCCAACACGGTGGTTGGCGGCAGAAGCCCGCTTTGGCACTTCTGCACCTTTGGTGGTTCATGAGAGTGATGAGAGATTGCAAATAATCTATATATATAGATATATAGATATGTAGCCTTGCCTCATTACAATGGTATTATTTGCAATATTTTGACGAACCNGTTCGCGACCGCTTATTCCGCCCAATTCCAATCCTTGGGTCATAGGCGTATATCGCGGCTACCCTGCATATCTGCAGGGCATTCCCCTATCCACAAATGTGGGGACGCGCCCGATGGCATGTGCAATGCGCACGGGTTAAAATCGAGTCCTGCATGCCAGCGTCGCCTTGCATTGGACATTGGACGCCCGCAGTCTTGTTGAAAATCTGCGCAGTCACTGCCTGAAACATTAAACACGAACAAATTACTAAACCAACGCCACTGGTCGTATAATAATGCGTTTGCGTTGAAACGTATAAGAACACTTCACATATAACATTACCGTTTACGTTGGTAATCATTTTTCGAATAAAACATTAGAGTTCGATAAATAGAGAAAAAACTATTTATTATCGTTGATAATGATGCCGGTCTGTTACCGAATGAGACTATTTTGAAAACGATTTCCGCCGGTCGAGTGTCGCGTTTACATTTTCCTTTCCGTGGTAACCGTAGCGTACCGGCTGGTATTGTTATTATTACAATATTCTTTCGGCCTACTGCAGGTTACTAACAAATCGAGAGTTATTTATTTACTTTTTTTCTATATTGTTGACAAAACATCACTATTTACTATTAACCACACTTCGCTTGCATTCGTTTTTCGTTATCAATGGTTAATAGCTGCATACAGATTAATATTAAATTACTCTCTGTTTCCTATCTTCTCAACTTCTCACCAGCTATACCCATCGTTTGATGTATATCCGTCGTTTTTTTCTGAAAATAATTTTTGCTCTGATTTTCAGATGGAGCATCTTTTCAGGACACTAATTGTATTTATACGGTATAATTAGACGGTCATTTTCCATTGCAGTTTTCATAATAATCAGTAAAAAACTATACAGGAAACATTTAGGGCAAACCTAACCTAACCTAACGACTTCATTAATTTAGACATTTTTTTATTTTGTTTTTTTCCCGAAATCTCACTCGGAATTTCATGTGTTGCATAATTTCTGGAAAGCAATATCTTCTAGGTTTTGTAAATTGAGTGTAATAACTAGGGTATTTGATGATTTGCAATAACCGACTATATCTCTATAACTATATTATAAGCATCGTATAATTTAAATAATATTAAAAGATATTTTTTTTCGAATTAATTTTGCCCTTTTAAACGCGAATCTAATAGATATTATCCAAATATGGTCTCGACTTGCTTATCAGCTTATCAACTGTCGTTCGAGCATTCGGACACCCGTCCACATTGCGTCAAACATACGATTAGTTTGGTATGAAAGTGCGTGCTAAAACGTACCATCAGCCGATCGCCAGAAGAGATGGAGAGGTTTCATTGTAAATAATTTGATGGTATTTACTAAATGTTATACTTTTAGTGGGTCCGAAATATTTTTCGAAATTCCGATAGAGTGTATTATACTATATTATAATTGAAGACCTGAGAGCGACAAGACATCTCCAATTAATAAAATTGTTCAGGAGGCAATTAAAACTCTCCGGAGGTGTCTTATTATTGCATTGAAATAAAAACCATACATCTCTATAGGATATTTATAACGCATTCGTTCATTTATTTATTGTTATTTCTGTATATGAATTTTGTTTTCATATACTTATTTAGTATGAAAAAGTGTCATCGAAATGCGTAAGTCTGTTCCAAAAGTATGATTACAAAACGCGGAATGCATTCGTTACGAAAATTAGGAACAATAAACAAGAACGCAAGGACGTTACACGTGCATTTGTTTGTTCCGTGTTACAAACACAAGATTTAAGTAAAAACACGCTTACGCAGACTACGCATAACCCGCTTAGTTTTGGTTTTAGAATAAAAGCATCCGTTGCGTTTTTTTGAAAAAATTTTAGCGAATTGAAAAAACGTTGAAAATTCGTTATTTATAAATGACAGTGGTATTCGAAGAAAATGATAATAAAACCCATCGTTTCGCCCTCCGGTAATATCGTTCTCGTTTTTTCTCTAAAACCAAAATCAAGCGAGCTCCGTGTAGTCTGCGTAAGCACGTTTTAACTGTTTATATCCGTTTTCACCGTTTGTAAGACGGAAACAACAAGCGCATGTGTACACCGTCCTCCGTTAAGTACTTTCTCCGTGAACGCGAACGGATTTTTTTTTACGAGAGGAATTGTTCAAACGCCGCGCTTTTCCCCTTCGGCATACGATCTAAGTACGGCCGGACGATTTCGACGCGTCCGGACCCCGCGCGGTTTCAACCCCGTATCGTACATTGTTATCGTTTGTCATCTCCGTCGACGTCGCGTACGCGATCAGCAAGGACACGCGAACCGCCGTCGGGCGTCGCCGCCACCGGAGGCCCGTCGAACCGAAGACGGCCCCGGATACCCGCAGCGGTCACACGCCCGGCGTGCGCGTACGTTTTACCGTTTTACCGTAACGCGCGAGCGCTGTCGTGTACTGTTCGCTTCGCTTGTCGATATTACCGTTATCGTTATGGTTACGGCGCTGTCGTTTCGGAACGCGGGGTTACGGCCCGCCGTTCAGGTCGATATCACGCCGGTCGTAGGGCTACAGGGCCCCGCAACAACGCCCTGTAACGCGCGAGTGTTTATAGACGATACAAAGAACGGACAGGCCACTCACGACACAATAATTGTCGACGAGGCGATGTTCCCGGAGGGGCGGTAAACTGAGGCGATTTATCGTTCAACACTATGTGCAGACGAAACGCTTCACTTTATGAAACTCTATGCAACTGAACCCGTCCCTCTTGAAACGCTGGTAATGTATGGATAGCCCGTCCGGCTATCCGTATCTCAAAACATATTGTCTATACGGTTATCAACGCCTCCGAAAACGGCAATGAACCGGACGTATTAAGTCGTCGTCCGAAAATGATGAGAATTCGGTAACGTTTGACACACTGCACACGAAATATAAATCCTGCCCGGTGCGGTTTTGCATAACAAATCGCGGTTTATTTTCCATTGATTTCCTCCGTTCTCTTGAGGTAATCAATTTCGTAACGGTATATAGTATCTACTGTTCAAATATTTTAGATTTAAATACGGATACAAAAGTCACGCGTTCGGGCCGTTATCATTTATCCTTATCGCGTTATTTTCTCAGAATTTTCGGACGACTGCCCTGCTCTACCTCCCCGCGGAAACACTAAATTTCCCGTTATTATTTTATTAGTCTATTGTCCGTAGCCTATGAAATGTTAACCTCTACAAATTTCTATTAGAATTTTGTCATTTTTAACATGTGCGCATTCTGGATTTTGCGCTCTTAGCTTAAATGAAGTGTTTCCAAACCCTTAGCTGTACACCCTGTGTACCTATAGCACCGAAATATGGTGATAAAAATAACCGTTATAGCTGCGTTTTCTTTACGTAAAATAATTTCAATATAATCGACGGTTAAATGTGCACATGAGCAGTTCATAACCGGCATACGTTGTTATATACCTAGGTATTTAACCGTGATTGACACTATACTATTCACTATTCGTGCACCGATTGTTTAGCGAGCCAGAGTCATAGGACGTAAATTCGCCAATTGGGGTCGAAAAATCCTGACAGTTTTGCAGTCGATACGATAATATTAATATTGTGTTTGCCGACACGAAAAACCAAATGTGTTCGTAATATGTTATGTTCTTGTAGCCGAGTTCAAAGCGGGAGGCACAATTTCAAACTGCCATCCACCCCCCTCTTTTATACTTGAAAGGGAATAAAAAATTAAATTGATCAACTACATTACAATCCGTATCGTGTTGATTCAATACTAAATTATTGTCAATGCGGATGTATTATTCACGTAGTAAACACACTCGCTTTTTCCTAATTCGTAAAAAAAGCCTAGGGGGTGCCTATTTGCCTATCGCCCCGTAAAACAGTGCCGCTCGTTAGTAGTTTTATTAAAACGCGATATTCGATTCCGACTGATATTTTAGACGGTTTTGCATTTTCGCGTGTACAGATATCAGATATACAGAGGGAGTGTGCGTTGGTTCCGTCGTATTATAGAGCGTACTTGTTGTCGCCCAAACGACACTTGTCCAAATTGAAATAAAAATGGATTTAGCTATAGCCCATTGAAATATTATTTACCATAAACGAAAAACTATTGTGTCGCCACTGTAATTTATTATTAATTATTTTATTGAAATATATAAGTTAGTGTAAACATAATATAAATGTAAAATATTTACAAATTATCAATATAACATTATTTGGCAAAATTCGGGAAACATGGATTTAATAAATTCCTTATTGGTCCATGTGCAATTTTAAATTATCACTTATAGTAAAATGAATACTGAGACTACGGTTTATATTGTTTATAATTTAATCTCAAATCTAGAGTTTTCTATTCAAGTCGAATGAACTTTGTACGATTTAATGAACAATATCATCGTATTCTATTTTACTACTCGCGAACAGTAGTAGTAAAAATGTCTTTTTCGTTTATGACGAATCATATTCTTATTATACAAGCGAAAACCAAAACTCTTTTTTTCTTTTTTTTTTTAATACAAGGAAAAAGGGTCATTTGGGCGAAAACCAAAAAGTAAATTTCGAGGAAAAACAGATCCGACCGTATTATCATATACACTCATACCCGGTAACAGTTCAATTTTCGATTTTCAATTTTGAGTGGAGTGAATAAGTTTATGGTTTTATAATTGAGTTTGTTTATTTTTTTGTTTTTCATCTGTAAACAATTTTTCTACCATGTATTTTGCTCCGATTTACAATGGTAGCAATTTTCCCGAAAAAAACTGACTGGGATGATACTTTAGAGAGGTAATTTTTTGATTTTCCCAAAAGTTTTCCAAATAGATGGGAAAAAATCGGTAAAAACATCGGAAAATAGGTACAATATTAAACAAATATTATTGATGTTAACGTTGGTAAACGTAAATCACAATTTAATTTTTATGAAAAACCAATAAAAATTATAAGGCGAAAATTTCGGAGTATATATTTACTCAACACAGCCAAATATACACAATTCGGTGACGAACCATGGTGACTGGTTAAAAATGTAAACAAAATGTATTCGGTATTAAACGATACGAAATGTGTGATGCCTATTAATAAAAAAAAAATCTGTCCCGAGATAATTTGGACGGATGCAGCCGGGTGATAGGTGGGAAGTTGGAAAGATAAGATACAGAAGGAAATTTAATGTATATTTCCTAGCAACGATAAATCATCGCTAACGAAAAAAACGATTCTAAGCGCAGTTCAATTGATAGTGATGCTTCATCAACAATATATATATATGCGTCATATTATGGTAAAATAATTAAATATGCATGATATATTTCTCTAATAATAATTTTTAATATTG